AAAGAACTATGAGCCTACCCACTGCCTCAAAGCCTAGCTAGGACTCAGTAGCTCCAATAACTAACAAGCAGAAGAAAAGAAAACACAGCAATATCAATTGCAAAAGAGAAGTCTAGCCAATCCTTTTGAGCTACCTTGATGACAATGTGGACTGGCATAAGAGAGTTTTGAAAAACCCAGAGATTTCTGGATTTCTAGAGCCACCACAACAAATATGTGGAAAGTTGGATCCGAGCCTCAGCCACCTCATTGTATTTGAAAGTACAAACTTGATGCCACCACAATTTGAAAGAGTGTGTGTGATTGTGAAGTCCATCCCAATGCACTGGAGCCAATTCCCACAATCTGCTTAACAAGAGAAGAGAACATTTCTGCAAAAGAGCAGCAACAGGTAAAGTTCCTGACAAACATTTCCACAAGAAATGTTTGATCTTATCCTGTATCCTCAGATTCCAGCATTTATAGATATTAGTCTTAGGAGCAGAGGAGTTTGAACTGGTTTTTGGTATGGCAAGTTTGAGAAGCTTCTGATGTGATAGGTAAGAGTAGGTACTAGAAAAAGAAAAACATAATTTCTTCTCAAGGCCCAGTATTTCCTATCCTCTATGTCAGGGTTAAGAGTTCTTATTTCAAAACAGCAACACTGTCAGAGGCATTAAAGACTTGCCTAACCAACCATTCATTCCATCCTTGTCCATGTGGCAGCAAAAGGTCCTTTACCCAAATTAGGTGCCCCTAGCAATTTCAATCAAAGCTGGTTTTGGCTTGTTGAAGAGAGGGACCCAGTTAATGCCATCCACGCTTGTTGGTGCACCATTTCTGTTTTCAGTCTTGAACCACTTGGCAAAAACTGGCAAGACATCAGTCCAACTGTTCCACATCCAAGATCCATTTGGGGATTTAACAGCATCAAGAATGGAACCATTTGGAAAGTATCAGTCTTTGAGAACCCTACCTCTAGGCATTGGTAGCTAAANTTGGTAGCTAAAAAAAAAAAAAAAGAGGTGTTTGACTATATCATATAATCAATTAAAAGAAAGCTGCAAAACTAGAAATCCAAACTCCTTTCAGCAGCTGGCAAAGAAGTACTGATCAAATCAGTGATTCAAGCACTCCCAATATTCACCATGTCATGTTTTAAGCTCCCTATTACACTTTGCAGTGAAATCTCAAGGTTGTGTGCCCATTTTTGGTGGCAATCATGAGAAAGTAACGACAAAGGCATACACCGGAAGAGATGGGACTTGATTTCTCTCCCAAAAACAAAAGGTGGCCTTGGATTTCTGGATATCAGGCCCTTCAATGAAGACCTAATTTGTAAACAGCTGTGAAGAGTTGCAACAAACTCTGATCTACTGGTTAGTAGGGTTCTCAAAGACAGGTACTTTCCAAATGGTTCCATTCTTGATGTTGTTAAATCCCAAAAGGGATCTTGGATGTGGAACAGTTGGACTGATGTCTTGCCGGTTTTTGCCAAGTAGTTCAAGATTGAAATTAGAAATGGTGCAAGAAGAAGAGTGGATGATATTAACTGTGTCCCTCACCTCAACAAACCAAAACCAGCTTTGATTGAAATTGCTAGGGGGCGCCTGATTTGGGTAAAGGACCTTATATTAATTTAAATTATGAATATTTTAAAAATTGCATTGTTAAAAATGCAAGAGAATTTTTTATTTAAATTTCTAATAGTTTTGAAAAATTACATTAGTATTTATATTTAAAATCAGACTTTTGACTTGTAAAATTTGTTCTTCTTATATTATAATATTTTTTCTAATTCATATGTAATAAATTTAAAGATAATTTTTTAATGGATATATAATATTATTAATTTTTAGTTAGTATTAAATATTAATAGATGATTTAACTTTAATGAATAAAATAAATAATATAATTATTTTATACATGCAATATGGATATTGAATCGAAATTCATCAAAAGGTGATTACTTTGATATACTATATTTGAAAAAGGGATAACAAATATAAAAATTATTAATCGGACCATGCTCCTCTCCTCATCCGGTGTCGTTTTTTAAATATATTTACAACTTAAGTTAGTCAAGTGTTTTATATTTTACAAATCCTAATAAGTATGAAAAGAATCCATATCTATATCGACTATATAAATTGAAAAAATAGATCTAATACTATATAACATAGGGAGGGATTTGTCATGTACCCAACACTAGAAAAGGGATTGATGGACAGCGACAAGGATAACGGTCAAGATGGGATCGAGGCTGTATTGGAGTTTGATCTGAGAAAGAGGGTTTATACAGAAGACGGCGAGGATAAGGGCAAAAATGGGGAAGAATAAGACAAAGGGGCGAGATTAACAAAGGGATAATATGTATTACTTAATGGGCTCATCTATTGGGTTTAGTTGGGCTACTTTTATTTATCATTATTAGTCCATTTTCCTTGGGATATTTTTATACATACTACATGAAATAAAAAAAAATTCAATTTTACCATCCTAGAACAATTAATCGGATATATACTTAATCAAGTAATTTTATTTATGTGATTGCCTAAATATCAGTTACCTTTTGTAACGTCCTCTATCCATATCAGTTATCATTTGGTGGCGTGATTTACTCATTTAATTCCTTAATTCCCGCAACTGGAATACTTTAATTCACGCAGTTCTCAGGTGGTATATATTGAGTTTATGTTAGTATATATTCAGTTTAAAAATATATATAGTTTAAAAATATATTATAACAGATTACTTAATATAAAACCATACATATACCCAACACCAACAAAAAAAATTAGTTTATGCTATTTTTTAATAGATTTTATACATAAAAATTAGGTCTCGCGATAAATTTAATTATCATATACCGAAAATATACTGAGTATAAACCATACATATACAAAAAAAATAAAATCATCAATTTATGCTTTGTCAGTATAAACCCTATGTTAGTATATTGTCCTAGAGACAATCAATTTTGGGATAAATGTACTTGATCACATTCATATTATATTTGATTATATTCATGGTTTTGCATTAATTAATGAATTCTTTTGATTGTCTGTAATTTATTAATTAATGGCTCCCTTGAGTTAATACTGTCATTAACAGAGTGAGATGTTAATTGATAGAGTATAACTCTTAAATTACCTCAATCGATGATCATTATGAAAAGGGATATTAATGATACGTGATAGATTGACATGTGGTCTGCATCACATTCTTTGAGAATATAGTATGTCTCACTACTATGAATAATTGTTATTCGTGATGGACAGAAGGATAAAAGAACAGAGAAAATACTAACCTGGCCGTGTGTGAAGAAGAGAAAGAGAGGGGGAGAGGAGCAATACATAAGTGATGGGAAGTTATCATGTATACAAATAAATATAACAAATAAATAAAAAATAAGCTTTTTAGGCATATATACAAATAAATATAACAAATTTATTTAATTTGTAAATAATTATATAAGGGATGTATTTATGTAATATTTTCAGATTGTTTGAGTGGAGGATGTAATTTCCTCATTTTCCTTTAGTATTTTTAGTTTATGTTGATTTGGTTATTAGGCATGTGTGACAGTGTGAGGCCCGTTCTTGTAACTAGTGGGACCATGTAAGGGTATTAATTGGAGAATGATGGGAAAATGAAAGCACGTTTCAGATGCATAACAAACTCTTTCTCTCTCTATTTTCTCTCTCACCTCCTTCTCTCACTACTATCTCCTTCTACAAGTTATTCTTATCTAATTTACAGTAAATTAAAACACAAAATCCACAAGGTTGTAACAGGATTAACTTGAAATAGTATTGAAATTTTCGCTTAAAATTTTCAAAGTTACTATTCTTATTATTTTTTGTTTTTTTGGAAAATTACGACTGCATGAAAATTCAAATTTATATTTCAAAAATAAAATTGTTATTTGAGAAAGAGATTTTGTAAACTTTAACTCTTAAAAATGTGGACAATGATTTTCTTAAATTATCCGGGTAAATTTGACCAATAATGAGAAGAATCTTGAAAATCTTGCTTCCAAAAAATCCGATCAATCATTTCTTTAAATTTTTTTGTTTAAATGTGTAAATTTGGTTACGAAAATTTGGTCAATCAATTAACGAATAAAATGTTTTAATTTTTTTGAAATCTTTCCGAAAAGTCATGCCTAATTAATTGTTAAATATTTTTGTATCCGTATTTATCTATATACAGATCTCTTATTTTATGGTCACAATAAAAATTCGTATTTATAGAATGATAATTTCGAAAATTAATTTTTATATTTCATATTGTTCAACTTAATTGATGATTCTTTTGTCAATATTTATCTAACTATGTAATCTTTTAAAGTTTAGAAAGAATCTCATATTAGGTGGATTCTTGGTACCTATTCTTTTGTGCACATCCATTTTTCATCTTATCCAAATTAAAATTTTAATGTCAATTTTTAAATATCTCATATTATTAAATATATATATATATATATTTATATATATTATATACTAACAAGCATGATGATTCATAAAATTAATTTTATCATATATCATGTGTTGGATGTTATGGTTTAGTTGGGGGCATTTATTATATTCAAATAAATAATATATAATTTTTCATATTTTGCATTTCTTTTTCTTGCATTAATGAGATATTAAATATAAATAACTATGTTTAAAATAAAGCCTTAAAAAAAGGTTTTTAAATAACAAACTTATCCGTGCATCGCACGAGATGCGCACTAGTTATGACGCATAAGAACTCGACACATAGAATTACAAATCACCAGAAGTCTACAGGCATGATCGAGACATTCTGCATTAATATATAGGAGGTGATATAAATATTTTTAAATAAAATAAAATCATACTAGATAATACTAGTACGAATCCCGTGCGATGCATGGGTAAGAGATATTCATTAATATTTATAAGTTGAAATGCTCATTAAATAATATCTATGGAATCAATATGTAATATAATTTATCTATATTAATTTATTGAAAGTGTTATATGAAATTTAAATTGTGCAAAATTATATAAAAATACCTATTTAAAGTTAGTACATAATCTATACGGTGCACGTAACTAATAATAAATTACAATATATTCATTTCAAAATAAGTGTAATTTTAAAATTTTTATTAAAAATTCGATTTGACTACAATGTGATTCCATAAATAAATATTTTGATAAAATTTTAACAAATATTTAAAAGTCTATGTGAATAATAATTATAAAACTTATATTGTTTCATTAATTAAGTTTTATATATATATTATCCAAATCAAAAAATTTAAGTAGTTGAGTAGTTTATTAAACTATAAATAATTGACTATTACATATACGTCAAAGTTAATATTGACTCGTAAGTTATGAATAATTACTTATTTGACTTTTAAATTTGGAACCCAAATTGGACTATATAATGAATTTTTCTATATATTCCATATATGTGTATACACACACACACACACACACGCACACACACACACACACACACACACACACACACACACACACACACACATATATATATATATATATATATATTACCTCGCAATTTTCTATATTTGTTGTCGGTTACCTTATCGTTCAAATTTATCAACTAATTCTCTTGAATTATATTAAAAATTTTAAATTTTATTAACCAATATTTATTCAAAGATCTTTCTGATTTTCAAGAGGAATATATAATAATTTTCTGAATTATCACAAATATTTTATATAAAGTTATTATGGGAATATACTAAAATTTGAGAATCATATCACCTTGATTTTATAACAAATCATCCTAAAATCCGACTTTCATACCCATAACAAATAAAACTCATGCCACTTATTTTATTTTAAAATTTCAAATACACTACTATTCACAAATAAAATTTATACCATTTAAATTTGGGCATTTCATAACACAATAAAATCGCCACTTTATATCATAAAATCAGATATTTATTAATAACAACACATTTTCTACCAAAAATAAAAATGGTCATCAATTACCTAAAATAAGTCGCCCACTTTAAAAATATGAAATACGTATGTATTACAATTTACCTATATTAATTTATTGAAAATATTATACGAATTTTAAATTGTGCAAAAATGCACAAAACATAACTGATAATAAATTATATTATATTAATTTCAAAATAAGTGTTATTTTAATTGTTTTTAATAAATTTAATTTGACTACAATGTGATTCCATAAAATAATTATTTTGGTAAATTTTTATCATATATTAAAAGATCTAAGTGAATAATAAGTAATTATAAAACTTATATTGTTTCATTAATTAAAATGAATTTATTTTTTATAAACTATGTAAATAAAAAAAAAGTAGTTGAATAATTTATTAAACTATAAATAATTGATTATTCTATTTACGTCTAAGTTAATATTGACCCGTAAATTATGAATAATTACTTATTTGACTTTTGAATTTAAAATCCAAATTTTGAATACAAAATGAATTGACCAGCCTATCATATAATTTTAACTAGTGTGTACCCGGTGCGATGCACGGGAATAATATTAAATTAACAATATTATAAATAGATCTCGAGTTAGAGTCACTCAATGACGAAAGTGGAAACTACTATTAATCCTATATAAAAATGGGAAGAAAAAAATAACTATAAATTAAAGCGGAGGATAAACAATACTTAATAATTATAAATTATAGATTCGGGGTCAAACAATTTAAAATTATTTTGTATAAGAGAATATAAAAGATTTGATTACACACCATTTTAAAATTATTATTATACTTTTTTGTATGGTTAACTTATAATATTTGTAAAAAATTAGTAATTAGACCGATGAAAATTAGCTTATTAAAGTAGATAATGGATTTCTAGTAGTAATTATGAATTGGTTTATATTTTATTTTATTTTTTCAAATCTGTATAGATAAGGGATGAGATTTTTTAAACACGTATGCAATGGGATTTTGTAACAGAAGAGATAAGCTAGTGTAGATTTATACTAAAAATAGAAAAAAGAAAAATAAATATTTATTGTCAAACAACGATTTTGATAAACTAAAAAACAGGAAAAAGAGAAACAAATCTTAAACCGTTTTTTTTTTTTGCAAAAGAGAAACAAATCTTTACACAATTAATGAACCGATTTTTTTGCCTATTCAGATTTGTCCAACAATTACTATATATAGGATATATTTAATGATTTTGGCTGGAAAATATTTCTATATTTGTAAAAATGTTATTTTTTTTTATATAATGATAGATATGCGTATCAATTGTGATCAATTATTTCTCCATAGTTGACGTGAATTATGGGTTTATCCCCAAGGATATAACAGGATATAAAAAATTTTA